TGTGGAAATGGACAGGCTGATCCTAAAATCCATATGGGCACACAAGGGATCCAGAATAGCCAAAATGATTTTGAAAATGAAGAACAAATTTGGAAGACTCATGCTTTCTTTGATTTGAAAACTTATTACACTGCTACATTAATTGATTGAGTGGGGAAAAGAATAGTCTTTTCAAAAAGAGTGTTTAAAATGAATGAATTTAGGAGGTGCCTGGGTGGCTCAGCTGGTTAAACGTCTGACTTTGGCTCAGGTCGTGACCTCAGTGTCCTAGGATGGACCCCCACATCAGGCTCTGAGCTCAGCGGGGAGTCTGCTGCCCCCTCTGCCCCTCCTCCCACTTGTGCTCTCTAACTCAAATAAATTAAAAAATCTTTAAAAAAGGGAGAATGAATTTGGACTCCTACCTCACACCATATACAAAAATTAACACAAAATGATTCAAAGACCGAAATGTAAGAGCTAAAACTCTAACACTCTTACAGGAAAACATTACGTATAACTCTTCATGACCTAGCATTAGACAATGGGGGTTTTTTTTTAGACATGATACTCCAAACACGGACAACAGCAAAAACAGATCAATTTGACTTCATCACATTTAAAAAAACTCCTATTGAGGGGGGCGCCTGGGTGGCTCAGTGGGTTAAAGACTCTGCCTTCGGCTCAGGTCATGATCCCAGGGTCCTGGGATAGATCAAGGCCCGCATCGGGCTCCTCTGCTCAGCAGGGAGCCTGCTTCCCTTCCTCTCTCTCTGCCCGCCTCTCTACCTACTTGTGATCTCTGTCTGTCACATAAATAAATAAAATCTTAAAAAATAAATACAAATAATAAAAATAAAAAAAAACTTCTATGTTTCAAAAGATACTATCAATGTTGGGAAAGTGCTTTAGAGAGGGCTTTGTTTCTTAGATGTCTCAGCAGACCTCCCTGATCCAGTGTGATCTTCTAGAGGCCCTAGGACACTACAGCCATCTGCGAGCACAAGGAGGGAGGTCCCCTGGAGAGACCCACCGGCCACCCAGAGGTTCAGAAGGCAGCAGCTCTTTAATAGGGTCGCTATGCCCCACAGCCAGTACGCAAGATATCACTATGCTGCCCCAGCTCTGGTTTCCACATTTTTCTACATTTCCCAATTAACCCTTTCAAGCCAGAACTCTTTCTTTAGCTAAGTAATAGTGTGTTCTTGGGGTCCCTGAGTTGCTCAGTCAGTTAAGCCTCTGACTCTTGATTTCAGCTCATGTCATGACCTCAGGGTCTTGAGATCGAACCCCCAACTAGGGAATCTGTGCTCAGCGGGGAGTCTGCTTGAGATTCTCTCTCCCCCTCTCCCGCTGCCCCTACCCCCACTTGCGCTCTCTCTCAGCCATGCTCTCTAACTCTTTCTCTCTCAAGTAAGTAAATAAAACCTTAAAAAAGTCAAACTCATGGGGCACCTGGGTGGCTCAGTTGTTAAGTGTCTGCTTTTGGCTCATGTCATGATCCCAGGGTCCTGGGATTGAGCCCACATCAGGATCTCTCCTCAACAGGAAGACTGCTTCTCCCTCTCCCACTCCTCCTGCTTGTGCTCTGTCTCTGTGTCTTTCTCTCTGTCAAATAAATAAATAAAATCTTAAAAAAATTTTTTTTAATAGTTAAACTCAGAAAAAAAAAACAGTGAAATGGTAGTTACCATGGGATGGGGAGATAAACACTGATATTGCTTAAGGACTAAGTGAGCCACAGTGGTCTAATGCCTGGTGTAATATTGAATATAGACAACAATATCATACTAGTACTATGTGATATGATAAGTATATCTATGACAGAATCATATTACAATATATAGATACAGCAATGTAACATGCTGTACACCTTAAGGTTATAGGTCACATGTCAAATATAGTCAACTGAAAAAAATAATTGAAAAAAACTTTGTAATAGGGGCGCCTGGGTGGCTCAGTGGGTTAAAGCCTCTGCCTTCGGCTCGGGTCATGATCTCAGGGTCCTGGGATTGAGACCTGCATCGGGCTCTCTACTCAGCGGGGAGCCTACTTCCTCCTCTCTCTCTCTGGCTGCCTCTCTGCCTACTTGTGATCTCTGTCTGTCAAATAAATAAATAAAATCTTAAAAAAAAACTTTGCATTTATGTGTGTCTCGGTCTGTCTCCTAGCTCCCTGGGAGCTTGAGACTGGGTGGTGCATATTCCTGGCTGTGGGGTCCCCCCAGCTTCACTTTCAGTCTCATGCCTTGGGTATATTATCTCATTTGATCCTTAAAACGATCCTACGCAGTACATGTTGTTAATGTCTCCATTATACAGATGAGGAAACTGAAACAGAGAGAGGCCAAGTAACTTTGCCTGGAGTCCACAGTCAGTAACTGACCGAGCCAAGACTCCAACCCCAGTCTGCCAAACTAGAGAAAGTTATGTGCTTTGCCCGCGTGCCGATACCTCCCTATTCCAATACCCCTGCGATGTTCAGGCCAGCCTCAATGATCAAAGAGAGACAAAAATACGCCCAGTGCCTTCCATTCAAGAAATGAAAATTAGCATGCATTTTTCAGAAAGATTCATCTCCAAAGTGGGTGAAAATATTTCAAGCACTGGTACTTAAACGAGTAAGCATTAGCTATCAGAAAAATCCACTTCTGTGAAACGACTCATTCTCCCATAGTGCTAGACCCAGGAGGTATTTCTATAGCATCTAGTTTTCTCAGAGAACTGCAAAGAAGCTCAGGACACCTTCTGGCAGCTTCATAGCGCAGAAATCATTGGCAACCTCACCATGTTTTTATTGTCAAATAAAATGGAAAATACCATGATCTGTTCAATAGTAGATGTTATTCTAGAAGATATATAGAAAAGTCTCAGGCTACACCTACCTCAAAAGCCACACACACACACACACACACACACACATACACGAGCCAATGCAGACACACACAGCTCACAGTGGGCAACAGGGACACCTGGATAAAATATTCTGGGACAACTATAGCCTGATGCTGTAGCTAACTTTAGGAAAAATTCTGAAGCAAGCCAAGTTTATCTGGGGCAAAGCGACTTGTATTACTACTACTAATAATAGCTAACACTTGGAGAAATGCTTACTATGTGCCACGCACTCTTCTGGGGACATGAATGCATTGACATCTTATACTGATCCTACGAGATAGGTGCTGTTATTATTCCCATTTTATAGGTGGGGAGACTGAGGCACAGTCAAGGAACACGCCCAAGGTCACAAAGCTGAGAGAGAACTGAGATTCTGAACCCAAACAATTTAGGTCGGAGTCCATGACCAACCCACTATGAACACTTCTCCACAAATACTACTGCCACAATGTGTCTCCACTCTTAAGGTCCCTGTTTCCCTGCTGAGCTCTCTACATACATTATCATCTCATAGATATTTTTGGGGTCCAAGCTCTTAGCTCGAAATTATTATGTAGTATCTCATTTGATCCATAAAACAACCCCATGAGGTAGCAATTGATATGTCCATCTTACAGGTCAAAACACTGAGGCAAATACCTGAAGAAAACAAAAACACGAATTTAAAAAGATACACGCCCACACACTTATCAAAGCATTATTTGCAACAGCTAAGATACGGAAACCAGCCAAGGGTCCATCAACAGATGAATGGACACAGATGTGGAATACATGCACTTGACCAACTCAACAGAAAGAAGGAAATCTTGCCATTGGTGACACCATGGATGGACCCAGAGGGTATCATGCGAAGTGAAATAAGTCAAAGAAAGACCATTGTCATATGATTTCCCTCATGCATGGAATCTAAAAACCAAAACCAAACAAAGCAGAAACCGACTCATAAATACAGGAATAAGCTGGTGGTTACCAGAGGGGAGGGGACTGAGGGGACAGAGAGAAGAGATGAAGGGGACAAAGAGGCACAGATTTCCAGTTATAAGGTAAGGCAGGCCCGGGGATGACAAGCACAGCATAGGGAGCATAGTCAATAACTCGTAGGGGCGCCTGGGGGGCTCAGTGAGTTAGGTGGCCAATTCTTGATTCCAGCTCAGGTCATTATCTCAGGGCCCTGGCATCAAGCCCCATGTCAAGCCCATGGCCAAGCTCCCCCCACCCCACCTGCCCACAAGGCTCTGCGCTCAGCAGGGAGTCTACTTCAGGATTCTCTCTCTCCCTCTGTCCATCCCCCACTAAATAAATAAATCTTTAAAAAACTAATATTATGTGGTGACAAACGGTAGCTACATTCAGCGTGGTGAGCATTGTGTAATATATAGAATTGTCCAATCACTATGTCGTACATCTGAAACTAACATATGTCAACTAGACTTCAAGTTAAAAAACCTACCATCTTTTCTAAATGAATGTGTAAGACTTCAGCATCATTTGAATGTACTATAATTTATTTGACTTTTCCCCTATTGCTAGATACTGATATTGTTTCCATGGTTTTTGCTTCTGCAAATAAAGATGTGATACACACACACACACACACACACACACACACACTGAGGAGCAGAGAAGTACTTTGACACTCAGACAAAAGTATCACCTCCTTTCCAGCAAGACCCCCATACGTACTCTACAGATCCATATACTATAAAACAAGGCAATGTAATTTAATACACAATTTCTACTACAGGGCCAGGTTCTCTGGGCTTTTCAAGGCCTCTATTCTAAAGGGTTAATGGGGGAAAAGGGACAATATACTTTCCTCTTTTCCCAGCTCAGAGGCATTACAGTGATGCGCCCCCCACCCCGCCCCCTTGCAGAGCAACCAGTTCCCCCAGCGGGGAAGCTCCACACACAACCTCTGTCACCGGAAGCCTGCTTTCAGGGCTCGGATGCTGTATTCAAAGATATCCTATTCTGAGTTTTGATTTGGTTTGGTTTGGTTTGGTTTTGGCACTGGTTTTCAGTGCTAGACAAACTAGCAAGCCACCCCTGGAGACCACCAGTCTTAACCATGGTTTCCATAATATGCTACCCCTGTTTGATGGTCAAAATCAACCCAGGGCTTACCTCCACCTGAAGGGTCGCACATCCTTTCAGGAAGTCACCAATGTTGTTGAGGCAGTCAGCTTCGGTTTGGGGCTCTGAGCAGTACTAGATAAACAGAGTCACATGTCACTCGGACACTGTGGTCCCATGCCAAGCACACCCTAGCCCTCAGGTTCTGATAACTAGATAAGTAGGCTTTTTAAGACAGGGGGCCACACTGCTATCAATCCAGGAAGAGAAATAACCACTGGAGGAAGTGATGTAACAGTCTAAACGGTCGGTCTGTTTCAAATGTCACCAAACTTCCAGTCCCAAACCATCTATCTCTACTGACAATCCTTTTCTTTGCCTTCTGCTGAGGTGTGGGGGTAGCGAATTGGATCCAGACTGTTTTTTGAACTTGGTTCTTGCTTTTAATCTATTACCTGGCTCCCTCCTCCCCATGATAATTTGTTAAAATCCTGTTCTCCCGTTTGCTACATTTGGTTACAGTTCTGTATGCTGTTTTTTTTTTTCCAAGTTTAAGGAAACTTACAAGGAAATCAATTTGCTCAATAAAAACACAAACCGGTTCAAGAAGGCAAAAGAACTCATGTTATGCTCACAGTCACGTCCCCTGTTAACCTGCAGAAAATAGCTGTAGGATCCGACCTTTAAACTTACTTAATTGCCTACTTTAGAAATTGCCCATCCTCACGACCTTAGCTTTCCAACAATAAAACTTTAGGCTTTTGAAAAGAGACTGAGGCTAATTTCAGTTTGAACACATGTTGCATTCAACACATGTATCTGCTTTCTTTTGTTTAAACAAACCTTTCTGACACTTGGGATTATTTCTCCTGGTTGCCTCTGTTTCAAAGGCTATTTTCTTTCTTTGAGAAGAAAATCGACATTGATTTGAGCCAAACTGTCAATAAACACCATCAATATCTGTCATAAACCATCCCATTATTACAAAGACTCATATATACCCCAAGTTCAAAATATCCCCTTGGTACACGGGGAGGTAGAACATGTCGCTCTATGACAGAGCAAATGATATGGGTATTTTCTCCTTGTCCCCTAGCACCAACGGTGCATCACAGTTTTGCTATATTTGGGGGCCAACTGCTAGAGGATAACCTTTCATTTTCTGTGTTTTCTGAACTACAGAAACAAGACAGAATGCCAAATTCTCAGGAAGAGATTCAAGTGGGAGCGTCCAGAGGCCCCGTGCAACAGAACGTCTCAAGGGTTACATTATTACTGCTCTCTGGTGGTAAGCAATCGCAAAGAGACTGCCTATCTCCCTTACCTTTTCTAGAGAGCCAGGCCTAAGTCTGTTGATCAATTTGCACAGCACTACCCCATTCTTCAGAGAGGACTTCAAGAACTCCTCCGGATCACAGATGGTCTTTTTGGGGGAATCTAAAACTCCCAAGGATATAAGCCATGTCACGATTCGCTCTTCTGGGTTCATCACTGAGGACGGTATGCTCTGCACAGCTCCGTGGGGCAGCTGCAACGACTAAGCCACATCCGTAATTGCATCTGCCACTGCCTTCCGTTTTTATAAGTTCTCTTCTGGGGCTTGCAGAGCAAAGCCTCTTGACAACTTTTCTTAGATAACCGTGGAACCCACTCGAATGACGGGATCTTAAAGCCACAGAGATTGCGCTTAAAAGATGCAGACATAGAAGGAAGAAAAATCCTTGAATAATGCTGGGTTTCTTTGTCCAAACCTGCAAAACAAATTCATTAGGGTTTAAAAAAAAAAAAAGAAGAAGAAGAAGAAGAAACACACACAAACACCACCCCCCCCAAAAAAAAACCCAAGAGTGCAAGAAGCTGTAAAGGAAGGAAATGAGGAGGAGGCTGGGGAGGGAGGAGAGAGAAGGAAGCAAGTGCTCTTGGAAAACAGAGGGGACCTTGGAAATGAGACACTCACGGGCCAGTCTGGGAAAACACTGTCAATAAATAGTCTAGCCCCAGTGAAAATCTGGCTTCTGTCAGGAGGAAGATGCCAACTGGCTCTTAGGTCAGACAGATCTGAGCCTCGTGGAGAAGGTAGGCCGAGAAAATTCTTCCAAGAAGTGGCCGGATGTCCACATCCTGTCTCACAGAGATGGTGTCTCAGGATCATTCCTTGTAGAACACCTTGAATTGCACGGTGATAACATGACCAGCGAATGAAGACCGTGCCTGCCGTCAGCCATCCCGGCGTGGAAGCAGAAGCTAGAAGAATGGTATTTTACTTTGCAGCCAAAAAAGCTATGTTTAGGGAAACAGGCTAAGGATAACATCTGACATCCTGTTTACTTGCATTCTTTAGCAATTCTTTTTCTGGACCTGGTTCCACTACACACTCCAGCTGTGGTACCCCTAGCAAAGGCGCAGACACAGTCCCATGAGTGGGTACAAAACACTTAAAAACAGAACTTTTGAGAACAAAAGAGTACTTGTCCTCTATCTATACTAGTCTGGAAAGTTGATGCTTCCCTGACAAGAAACACTTTGCATTGAAAATGCTGCTCTGAAAAAAAAAAAAAAAACAATCCTAGTCTAAAACAAGAGATCTTGTTATCCTCAAACATTTTCACAACCAGTTGAAAGAGACATACTGTTGGGAAAGGTACAAGAAGACCATGGGGAACGGCATGGCCTTAAACCGGCAAAGGCATGGTCCTCCCCATTGGTCACTGCCCCTCCTCACGCGGGGGATCCTGCTAAGCTTCCGAATCCTTCTCAACACAGCTTTAAACATCTACTACCAAATAGTCAGCTTAGATGATCCTGCTAAATGTTTTCAAAGCTTCCCCTTCTTGCCCTGTTCCTAACACTTATCACACTCCACTACTATCACTTGTTGGTATGTCTCCTCTACCAGAATGTAACCTCCCTAGAGCAGAGGGCTTGTCCGTCTTGTTTAATACTGTTCCCAGCAGCTCCAGGTACACAGTAGATGCTTTAAAATGCTGAATGAGGGACACCCGGGTGGCTCAGTCAGTTGAGTGTTTGCCTTTGGCTCAGGTCGTCTTTCCGGGGTCCTGGGAATGGAGCCCAGGGTCAGGGTCCCTGCTCAGCGAGGAGTCTGCTTCTCCCTCTCCTTCTGCCCCTCCCCTCTCCCCGTCCCCTCCGCTCCCCTCTTCCTCCCACCCCCTCCCCCTGTTCATGGTCTCTCTCTTGCTCTCTCAAATAAATAAATAAAATCTTTTTTAAAAACACTGAACAAGGTGACTGGGTGGCTCAGTGGGTTAAAGCCTCTGCCTTCAGCTCAGGTCACGATCCCAGTGTCCTGGGATCGAGTCCCACATCGGGCTCTCTGCTCAGCGGGGAGCCTGCTTCCTCCTCTCTCTCTCTGCCTGCTTCTCTATTTGTGATCTCTGTCTGTTAAATAAATAAATAAAATCTTAAAAAAAAAACACTGAACAAATGCATGAATGAATGAATGAACTCCTAGGACTTAAAACAAAACTTCTTTCCTTACTAATGAATTTTACTTTTTTTAAAAAGATTTTACTTATTTATTTGACAGACAGAGATTGCAAGTAGGCAGAGAGGCAGGCCAAGAGGGAGGAAGGGAAGCAGGCTCCCTACTGAGCAGAGAGCGGGATGAAGGCTCCATCCCAGGATCCTGAGATCATGACCCGAGCCAAAGGCAGAGGCTTTAACCCACTGAGCCACCCAGGCGCCCCATGATCTTTACTTTTATTGAGAGATAATTGACATATAATAAACTGCACATATTTAAGATGTCCAATTTAATGAATTTTGACATACATATACAGCTGTGATACAATCTCACACACAATCCAGATAAAACTTCCCATCGTCCCCAAAAAATGTCCTTGTGCCCTTTCAAACCCTTTTTCACCTCCCTTCCCTTCCAATCCGCTTTCACTCCCTGTAGATTAGTCTGCATTTTCTAGAATACTATATAATTGAATGCATACAGTATGGTACTTCCCTTTCTCCAGTTTCTTCTGCCCAGCATCACCATTTGACTTTCATTCACATTGTCTGGTCGATCAGTAGTGCTCTAACAAGGATTTGACCTCCAATGTTTGGTTTGATGTAATTATACTCAGAAGCAAAATAAGTATAGTCAATCAAGTTTTACTTGACTTTTGACCATAGTCAAAGCTATGTCATAGAAAGAAATACAAAATCCATTCGTGGGTAAATTAAATTCCCAAGTCAGACCTACTTGAACACATTGTTCTACGTCCTTTGGACACGTTTTCCCAACTGCTCATCAAAACTGCACAGACAAATCTGACAGAATTATTGAGGTATCGCTTATATTTTCTGATCAAGAATAAAGCCCAAGTGATTTCGGGAACCCAGCCTAGCCCAAAATAGGCTTGAGCCCACAGAGGTCACCCGGGTGAAAATTTGCCTCATTTTAGACAATGGTTACAGCAAATTAAGCACTAAAGAAAAACCAAGAAAGCAAGGCCACCTCCTCAAGGCAGTTCTATTAGTATGAGGACCTGAAGCTACGGCTGGTATGGAGAGTACATGTCAGGAGAGCGAGGGATCCCAGGACCGTAGCAAGCACGGGGCTGAATGACTAGCTATGGAACCGAGGCTGGTTAGGGAAGCAAGTGCCGACACAGAGGAGCTGATGAACTGGGGGCGCAGGGGCAGCCGCTGGAAGACTGGTGGTCACAGGCTAGTCACAGGAAGCAACAGCTTCACAGGACAGCACGAGTAAGAAGAGCAAAGGTTTCTCACTCAGACCCCCAAGCCTTAGGAGTGTGCACCCTGGGCCACTGAGCCAGCCTCCTCACTCCCTGGCTTTCCCACCTGCATCCTCTCATCCTAATGGACTCTCTGGCAGAACACAGTCTGGTTCATTTTCCAGAAACAACTCTTTGATCGTGTAATACTCGTGCTCAAAAGCCCTCAAAGGCTCTCCATCACCTAGAGCCATGATTTACAAACAACAGTGCCCAAAAATAGTCACCTCTTGTGAGGGCAGGCGGGGAAAAGAATGAAGAGTTGGGAGGACTAGTCCCCAGTACCCTACTTCACCATGGGGCAAAGGAACCTGTATTACTAAATATCCCACTTGATTCTGACACAGACAGACCAAGGTCACACTTGGAGAAACAAGTTGGTTTATAATCTTCCACTCCACCCCAATTTCTTTTTTTTTAAGATTTTATTTATTTGAGAGGGAGAGCATGAACAGAGGGAGGGGCAGACTCCCCACTGAGCAGCGAGCGAGATGTGGGGCTCAATCCAGGACTCTGGGATCTTGACCTGAGCCGAAGGCTTAACTGACTGAGCCACCCAGGTGCCCCAATTTCTGCCACCATCTGGGTCATGACCACTCAGTTCCTTGACTTCCCTATTTGTGACTGATGGATTACCTCCGGCCCCTCTTTATGCCTGCTCTGTGAACATGGACGTGGGACTTTAAATCATTTTTACTTTGCCAGCTGGCAAGATATGAAGTTTTATCAGTAGCAGGTGGTAGAGACATTGCAGGAAGAAGGGGTTTTACTTCCTGTTTCCTGTGTGCTCACTCCACAGGCTCCTGCCAAGCTCCCGGCTTTCTTAGTGCTCCCCTTCAGCGACACTGGCTTCCACCAGGGCACAGTGGGTAGCAGCTAGCTTCCCCTGCCACCACCTTTGGGGGGGCCGTTCCATACCAAAGTATCTCTGGTGAGACACCTCCCCCACGAATGGGAAACAAGCACCCTCCCAGGGCACATTTTCAGCAAGTTCTAGAGGGCGGATGTCCAGCAAGTTCCACTGACTCAGCCCCATGACAACTTCTATAATTAGGCGTGGATCTCGGCTACCAGTGGAGAGGGGAGTTCTCACAGCTCTAGGGGAGTGACTAGTATGTATTATTTCACACTGTATCTGCCATCCTTATACTCTTTTTAGAGTTCTCTTTACTTCTCACTAGTCAATCCCTCATTACTGCAGTCCCCTATCACTGTTGACAATTACGTTCAACTTCTGTTCAAATCCCTCTGTGGTTTCTCTGTCCTGATTGGACCAGACCCAGACTGACACTCCTCGTTATCCTCAGTGAACACTCCTCTGCTTTAGCCAACTGCTTGCGAGGTCACAGCTTGTACTTTTTGTCATCACACAAATCTCTCTGCTTCCTAAATCATGAATTCAAACATTACATTTTCTAACCACAACCTACCATCTTTCTAGCTGGCTTGTTCAGTTTCTCCCATGACAAGTAGCCCTTAACCTTGTAGGGATCTTCAAAGCACTGTTTTCCAAACTGATTATAGAATTTTACTTTCCTACAATCAGGCTCTAATCTCCCATTGCTCCACATCATAGCTAATACACCTTTCAGACTTCTAATTTTATTTTTATTTTCATGGGTATAGAATTTACTTTTCTATGATTACTAATAAGGTTAAAGCATTTTTTAAAAAATTCGTTTTTAGCGGGGGAAAGAGAGAGGGCAGGGGGAGGGGCAGAGGGAAAGAGAGAATCCTTTAAGATTTTATTTATTTATTTGACAGAGATCACAAGTAGGCACAGAGGCAGGCAGAGAGAGAGGAGGAAGCAGGCTCCCCGCTGAGCAGAGAGCCTGATGTGGGGCTCGATCCCAGGACTCTGGGATCATGACCTGAGCCGAAGGCAGAGGCTTTGACCCACTGAGCCACCCAGACACCCCGGAAAGAGAGAATCTTAAGCAGGCTCCACGCACAGCACAGAGCCCAACCAGGGCTCGATCACACAACCCTGAGATCATGACCTGAGCAGAAATCAAGAGCCTGATGCTTAACTGACTGAGCCTCCCAGCTGCCCCTAAAGCATTTTTTCATATGTCAATTGGCCATACATATTTTCTCTTCTGGGAAATACTTGCTCATTTCCATTACCTACGTTTCCACTGGTTGTTTGTCTTTTTGTTATTAATCTGTAGAAGTTTGTAATACATTAGGGATACTAAACCAATGTGCTTGTGACTATCCTCTTGTACTCTTGTTTTTCATCATGGTGTAAAATGTGGTGTGTTTTAGGAAATAGAAGTTCTTGATTTTCAAAAATAAGATACTTTATTTCACTCTCATGTAAAAATAAATCCAGAATCTGGCAGTCCAAGACTAGCATGCAGCTTCATAGTCATTAGAAACCCAGGACTCGGGGCGCCTGGGTAGCTCAGTCGGCTAAGTGTCTGCCTTCGGCTCAAGTCATGATCCCAGGATCCTGGGATCGAGCCCAGCATCAGGC